TGCTGAAATCGCCAGTTTCTTCCCATCATTTCATGAATCTCTGGAATATGATTTTCCAGGATTTCGACATAAAATTCCGTATTCATTATTCTCGTGAAGCAAAAAAGGCTAGTTTTACCAATTTATAAAAAAACCGCCACCCCAAGCAAAAGATTTTTGATGATCTTTTGGGATTCGACGAGTGGGCTGTTCTCTCTTGTACCAGCGTTCTACTGCATTACGAAAGAGCCGAAAAGCTGTCTCATCAGTAAAAACGGGTTTGTTCCAGTTGTCATTCAGATGATTCTGTGCACCATTCTACTTGTTTTCATCGTGGTCTTCAGTTAACATCGGGGTGGCTTTTGGTAGCTTCTTTTTGTAATCAAGACCCACCCAAAAGATACCTCGAAATTGCCATGCGCGAAACCTGACAGCCTTTATTTGATAACTTTGTTCCAAGTGCTCTTAGCGAAATAGCAGAATCTCGGCATATAGACTGGCCAATTGTCTTTGCGTTATTTTTTTTCCGGCCACTCCCTTTTTTCCGATCCAATCTACCATTATTATATAAATAGTTCGCATGGGGATCCTTAACTGAGTGCACTCCGATGTTCCAATAATGCAAAATGGTGTATTCAAACTTGATTTAGTCATTTCGTGGTCGAGTTCAAAAAAAAAAAAAGCTAAAAATGAACTATATAGAAAACGGCTAAAAACTCTCTTAAAAAGTTATTGAAAAGTTTCTTATGTGTAACGTTCACACCTACAAATCTAAAAATAAAATCTTATTCTGTCACTCCCACTCCTACTAATAATGTTGCCAACCAACTCTATAATGATGAATTAAACTTTACATATAAGGATAGTGGCATAAGCTTAACTTCGTTTGAGAATCTTCCATTACGTAAATATCATCAACATTATCACAGTATATTTTGTTATCCAATAATTAGTCATTTTTTTTATACAAGCTTTCAAATAAAACCAAATTGTTCATGGTTATAAGAGATTTATTTCAAGCAATTTTATAAACGATACAAGAGTGTAAAAAATATAGATGCAAAAGTATATCTGAACATGTACAATGAATGAGGTTGATTATGTATACATGACAAATATTATTTCATCTAGTTTGGATACATACAATTCAAACTGTCCACGCGACACCAATGCTTAATAAGAACGTAACAGAGAAGTTTCTTGTTAATTTGAATTGGTTTATGAGGGAAAATTGACCGGCTTTTGTGAAAATCAAAATACAACAAGGATATGATTTTTCGCTAGTAAAAGTGTATAATATAGATCCAACTAATGTCATACCTTCTATAATCATTTATATTACAACAACCAATTACAATGGTTACTAATTGGGTAGTCTCGATTGTTTTTGTACCAAGTTATTATAAAGGACGGGATTTTTTAAAAAAATATTAGTACGCGTCGAAATCAGTATTTCATCAAAAAAGTACTGTCTTGTGTCGGGTAAAAAAAAATCATTGTAATCTTTGAACCAATAATATGAAAGAATAAGATGGGAATTATAATAATAATAGGTTTGTGATGACGAAGACGGTGACGACGAAAGAAAAAATATGATACTATATTATATTATAAATATCAATATAAATAATATAAAAATTAAACTAATTCATTTTTATGCATATGATATTCTTGCTTTTTCCCTAAGTTTCCATCTTTTTGGAGTTTTGGATAAATTACAATTATTATAATTGTCACCTTCTTGTTCTAGTTGATGTTTACCTTTAGCAATAAGTTCATCGAGTGGATCAATTGCATTTGCATCAATTGGACCACATTCATCACATCTCCAAACAAATCCACTAAAAGAAAGCCATTAAATACAAAAGTAAAAATAAAAATATTATTATAATAGCAATAATAACAATAACAATAAAAATAAAAATAGCTTACCCGTTAGGAATAGTTTTTATAGGCGGATTCATACAAGCAAGATGATTCCATTTTTTACAAAAATTACATCTAAGCATTCGGTTAATTATATCTTTACCTTTCTTTTCTATCATTGTAGAAGAAGATTTTTTAAAGTGAGCGTAAAATAGTGATGTTTGATTATGATCTGGTGGTTCAACTTTATTACATTTGGAACATGTAGGCTGAGGGTAAGATGTACTACTAGTACTTGACAAATGTATATTTATCGCATCATCATCATCATCATTAATAGGTTTGATGATCTTTGGTTTATAATTCATATTATGGTTCACATTATTACATTTACTATTATAATTATAGATAGTAATAAGATCACTACTTCTGCTGTCACTGTTGCTGCTTCTAATTGCATTATTACTAGCTATGGGTGCCAAAAACCTAACATCACCATCTACTAATGCAGTAAATATATTACCATAAACGATTTTCGGTCTATTATTACTATTATAACCATTCATATTATAACTATCAAAAGATCCATAATCTTTGCCATCTTCTCCATTGTCTGCATCTTCATAATTTTTACTATTTTTATAATATTCATAAGTATCATCATTAAATATTCTATTATTTTTATTTTTTTCTTTCATTGCTTTATTTTTTTTATCAAAGTCATAACCATCAAAAACATCTTCATTCCCATCATCTTCGTAATCATAATAATCTCCATTTCCATTATCACTATTATTATTGTCTACAGATGGACCGATTGATCTCGTTCTAGCTGCAGTATATGGCACTTTACCAGTATAATATGCTTTTTTTAATTGATTGGTAAGATTATCTACTAATTGTAATGTTTTTGAATTCGTTATAGTAGAGGATGATGATGATGATCGAACTTGTTGTTGAATATTTTTTAGATTATCATTGTCTATATTGATGGCAACACTAACATTATTATTAAAAGCCTCATTGTTATAAGTTGAACCAGATTCGCCATCATCATCATCATCATCAATTAGACTAGTATTTCTTGGATTTTTGGATTTTGATGCATCATTACTATATCTATTATTGTTGGTATTGTTGTTAGTCTCAGCTTTAGTTTTGTGTGTTGTAATCGTTTTTTCATTCTTGTTAACTTTAAGTTTGTTTTCCTTTTGTCTTTGATCAATACTTTTTTGTGCATTATTTAATCGTAATGGTTCAATTCCTTCAAAGTTACCCAACCTTTTAACATTAATTGCTTTTGCTTCTTCCACACTATCACTATTCCAATCTGATATGGAGTTTGGTAATTTAGTTAATAATTGTCGAATCTCAATTAATGCTCTCATGAATATTCCTTCGTTCATTTGATTTCCTGCTCCTTTGTAAGTTGGATATTCAATGAAAGTATATTGGTTTGTTTTGTTGGTATTTGTGCCATTATTAACAATGGGATTAGTTGTGCTATTATTCTTTTTATCAGATTTGTTATCAATGATATCACTGTTTTCGATGTCTTTTCTAATCATCTTTTCAACAAACATATCTACTCCAAGTATTAACTTTTTAAAATATTTTACTAATTCAATAGTTTCTGATTTTGCTGTTAATGTATTTTGAAACAGTAATTCAATATCTTTCTTTGCTTTATCAAGATTGTCCTTATCTTGTTTATAACTCGAATATGATTGTGCAATCGATTTTTTAAGTTTGGTTATTTGTATCTCTTGACGTTTTTGATATTCACTATA